CTGTCTCATGATGACCCTTGGTATGTTACAAGGGTAAGCAGGTCTAACAAGACCAGTATAATCCCAGATACATGATGTGCCCTGGGTTGTGAGAAGGGAAGGAGATTGGCAAAAACAGTTTCATTCCGGACACATGATATGCCCTGATATGTTACAACCAGATTGTCAAGAACAGTCTCAGGGGTGGAAATAACCTTAAAATTGATAGTGTACTCCGGTACAGAGGCACATGTAAAGTCACTTGCCCTGATAATTTTCCCACTATACTGACCATTTTCTTGCTGATTTTTTAAATAAACAACATAATTAACATCTGAATGTCAACTGGACACTGGTACAGTGTGATATACAAATTTGCTTGCCCGACAGAAAAAAACACTGGACACGGACGTCGGGCAATGGGTTATTTCCACCCCTGAGTCTCATCCCACGCACATGATATGCCCTGGTTTGTTACAAGGAAAGTCTTATCCCAGGAAGTGAAAGCAGATCTCACACTAGGCACATCCCACGACACATGATATGCCCTGGTTTGTTACAAGGAAAGTCTTAACCCAGGAAGGAAAAGCAGATCTCACACTAGGCACATCCCAGACACATGATATGCCCTGGTATGTTACAAGGACAATCAGATCTGACAAGGTCAGGCCCACAACCCCAACATCTCTATGGGGATGCAATATTTTGGAAAGTCCACATTTTTGTAATCATCACCCACATTCATATAGAGCAACTGATCAAAATACAGAAATGAAAAAGGTTGTAGACAAGAAACAGAGGCTGCAAAGTTCGACAATCTAATCCATTTCTTCCTGAAGAACAGCACTACACCAGCTGAAGTTCACTTCCTTGTAAGCAAACAAACAGTCCTTGATTGCTGTGTGGTAGCAGCTCCTTCAGTGACCGCAGTCAAGGAGGGAATAAATAATGGGGTTCGGGGCAGAGGTGATGGCTGAGGTGGGAATAATGGGGCTTCATCATCAACCATTGGCAACAATCAGTTTGGTCTGATCCATCATCAAACACAATCGAGGCGGTGGGGTAGCCTAGTGGTTAAAGCGTTGGCTCGTCATGCTGAAGACCCGGGTTCGAATCCCCACATGGGCACAATGTGTGAAGCTCATTTCTGGTGTCCCCCGCCGTGATGTTGCTGGAATATTGCTAAAAGCGGCGTAAAACCAAACTCAGTCAGTCAGTCAGTCAAACACAAGCAGCAACTCATGTCTTGGTGAAAACATAAAGATGTACTCGAACTTGTCGTACTGCATGTCACCCAGAAAGAACTCCCATAGAGAATTTGGTTCAATACACCTCAGTATTTCAGTTTTATCAACGCATGTGTCAGAACAACTGAACGATTCAACTAATACTTTTATGAACGAGTAAGTAAGGTTTCATTCCCTTTTCACAACAAAAGCCAGGGAACACCAAAAATGGAATTTAAAATTAATACCCATGTTGGTCATAAAACCCATGCCAGCACAACAAGCATCAAGTCACAAGGCTACCTGCCTCCTTCGACAGAACACACAAACAAGATCCTGACAAAAATAAGGGAAGCAACTCTACAAAGCAAATTGCAGCATGGACCAATGAGCCACCTGAGGGAGAAGATCTGAGGCAGAAGATTTATAACAGAAGTAGCTCTCTTGGTGTTTACTCAATTAATGCTGAATGATATTGAGGACATTCCTGCAAAATGGCCATAATCAAATTATTGCAGAAGAGATTTTCACGGTATTCCAGCAATAGTAGTCCACACATGCTGAAGACATTCTTGCCATGGCATTTCGATGATACATTGCAGAGGGATTTTTAAGTCTGTTAGTTCTGAACTAAATTAGAACATTTGTGCAATAAATACCACAGGTTTATTGAGAATCGGTAAACTGGTCATAGATCACTGATATATCCAATCCCTAATTTATTCACCAGCTGGTCTGACAAGACCATAGAATTACCTGGATCAAATATCTGGTGCATCAACCCCAGCAATAGATTTTTTGCTTTTGTTTTTGCATATTTTTGTAGACATGTGAAATGAACGTGTGCATATAATAAATATTTGTGTGTGTGCATTCCTGAAGTGAGGAAATCTAGAAGTGTGTTTGTCTGTGTGTGCTTTCTTGGATATATTTGAGGGTCTTGTGTCTGTGCATGGGTGCAAGTGTGTTTATGTGTGTGACCTTGTGTCTGTAAGTGCAAGTGTGTGTGTGTTTTTGCATGTGCTTGGGTGTGTGTTTGTGTAGGTGTGTGCATGCAAGTGTGTCCTTGTGTATGTGTGTGTCTGTGTGCAAGTGTGTCCTTGTTTTTGTGTGTGTGTGTCATTAGCCTACTGAAACACTATGTCAGAATTTTCCATGAACACCCTACTCAAAGAGAGTCCACTGACTCCAAAGTCAACCAGTTTTATCCCTGAATGCCAAGCACCAGGCAGTGCAACAACAAGTGCCATCTCCTAACGGGATGGAGATTGAACAACCACCCATCCAGTCTCCCAGCAGACGCTCTTTCCACTTAACCACATAGGCAGTCTGAAATCAGAAGTTCTAATCTCCCAACCACAAAGACTCAAGACAACTTCAGACCATGGAGTCTCAAGACCACTCTACACCAGAGGCAGTCTGTCAGGGATTTGGCGGCCATTTTACTTACTGCTGCATAAAACCCTATCCAGTTATCAACAGATTACATTAGAATCACTGACATGTCACTGTAATTCTCTTGTTAAATGGTTACATAGGTCTCTTGGCAATGGGGGCAGTGGGGTAGCCTAGTGGTTAAAGCGTTCGCTCATCACGCCGAAGGCCTGGGTTCGATTACCACATGGGTACAATATGTGAAGCCCATTTCTGGTGTCCCCTGCCGTGATGTTGCTGGAATATTGCTAAAAGCGGGGTTAAACCCAACTCACTCACTCACTCTTGGCAATGTGGTTGGTCTGCAACATGAAACATAGGACCAGTAGAACCCCCAGTGCCACATCATGGGATGTTCTTCAAAACCTAGACTTGCTCAGAAACTGGTATTCGGCCCCAAGCACCTTGACTAGGTCACATGAGCCACACTATGAGGGATGTCTGAGATAGAACTAAACGCAAAAGCTTTACCCGCCCAAGTATGGATACATCGCCCTTGCAATGTCAAAACAACAAGGAAAGTGGGAAAATATGTATTAGCCCTGGACGGGCAGGCTACTCTTCTAAACAGGGGCGATAGAGTAGCCTAGTAGTTAAAGCGTTTGCGTATCAAGGTGAAGACCTGGGTGCGATTCTCTACATGAGTATTATGTGCAAAGCCCTCTTCTAATGTCCCCCGCCATCATATTGCTGGAATATTGCTAAAGCGGCATAAAAACCTACTCTCTCACTGTCCAACCCTTAAAGTATTTTAACAGAAAAGCAAAAAAGTCGTTGCAGACTAATTACTGTTGTATCACAGCAACTAAATTCTAAAAGAAACAATTGTTTCATGGGCATTAAGAAAGCATATTGTTCATCATGTCTATTTGAAACACAATGTCCAAATAATGAGAAACAGATCAGATTTATTGCATATTATGGAACACCCCAGCATTTAATTCAGTCCATCAAGTCTTTCTCAAGAAGAGACATCTTTCATGCAGGTGAGTTCACCAAAATACATGACCAAATAAATGATTTATCTCATGAAACTATTAATAAATACAGCCCTGATCTGTAGATAGAAAGTATTGATTAACTGGCAACACTGCACATCTTGTCTTCAGACTCACAGAATCTAGACTGATCTCTCAAGTTTAACAGGATTCAAAACTTGACAAAAACATTTCACAAATCTCCAATAACATTCGCAATCCAATATTGATAAAACAAATTTCTATCATGACATTAAGTAACTCAATATTGTCTGTTCTTTTCCTATTTCATGAAATAAGATGCAGCAGACATTGATCAAAAGATGGATTCCCTGTATCTTGACTCTACAGTACTTTAATATTGTCAGAAAGATGTCTCTTGACTCTACAGTACTTTAATATTGTCAGAAAGATGTCTCTTGACTCTACAGTACTTTAATATTGTCAGAAGGATGTCTCTTGACTCTACAGTACTTTAATATTGTCAGAAAGATGTCTCTTGACTCTACAGTACTTTAATATTGTCAGAAAGATGTCTCTTGACTCTACAGTACTTTAATATTGTCAGAAAGATGTCTCTTGACTCTACAGTACTTGACTCTACAGTACTTTAATATTGTCACAAGGATGTCTCTTGACTCTACAGTACTTTAATATTGTCAGAAAGATGTCTCTTGACTCTACAGTACTTTAATATTGTCACAAGGATGTCTCTTGACTCTACAGTACTTTAATATTGTCACAAGGATGTCTGATATGGTGTGTGAATACACCAGAGGTGGGTGTGATGAAATGGTGTTTCATGTCAAGTTTAAGATTATTGCGTTTATACCGAGACATGCATGTGTGTGTGACTGCATGTACTAATTCAATTTTATTCGTGAAGATCCCAGTTAGAGTTGATCTTCAGTAACCCATGCTTGTCACAAGGGGCAACCAATAGGATCAGGTGGTCAGGCTCGCTGACTTGGTTGACAAATGTCATCGTATCCCAAATGTGTAGATGGATGCTCATGATGTTGATCACTGCATTGTCTGATCCAGATTCGTATATTTACAGACTGGAATACTGCTGGTTGCAGCAAACAAACCAATCCAATTTACGAACACTTGTACTAAGTTTATAGCGTGAGATACTATGTTGCAGTTAAACAAAGAATACCCAACTCAGACACAGCCTACTGACTCCCAAGCTGATGGTTCCTTGTTTTATCCCTAAATCCCCGACACCAAACAACAATCACCATCATTAACCATCTTCTGGAATGAAAGACCAGAGATAAAACCAGTGACTTACTGGTCTCCAGGCAATGTTCTATCCATTTAACCACAAAGATGGTCCTGAAAACATATGACATATGTATAGTAAGGTCACTGGAGTTACCTGGATGAATCTTGAGCTTGCCGATGACGCCATATATATCGTCCAATACAGATCGGGTTCCAAGCAGAACAGAGGTCATGACCTGCAAAATAGAATCATTTTTAATGCTCAACAGTATCTAATCTGAGAAATGTTTATCCAAAAGTAGTAATATTTTGGTATCAATATATTTTCAGGTAACTTTACCATGTGTAAGATAGATATAGATAGATATACCAACTTGCACAACTGTTAACTCCAATACACTATCACAGTGATACAGCAGAGACAATTTGACATCAAGTAGAGCTGTGACGATATATCGTAGGATCGATAATCGTGATACTTTTTCTGACAATAAATATATCAATACTTTTTTTCGTATCATGATATGTATCGTTGACCTTAAAATTGTGAATTTTCACTAAAAATTGACGGTTATGTCAAAATTTACACTGTTACTTGTTATCAAAATACACCTTTTAAAAGAAAATTACTATAAAGATAGCATATTGTGATATGCATCGTATTGAATCGTATCGTTCCAAGATATCGCAATACGTATCGTATCGTGAAATTTCTGTATCGTCACCTCTAACATCAAGTAATACAGTTTATCAAAAGTCATGACATTAGTAAAATGTCATGACAGTGTCAATAACGTCTATGTCTAGGTAATACAATGCACTATTGAAGTAAGGTCATATAGATGACCAAGCATCCACTGATGGGTTACTTTTGTTTTAAGTCCGGATCACCCAGGCTGAATAACTGAATGCTGTGTTTGAAATTTTGAAAAGATATGGCTGTCTGTAAATATATGGAATGGCTGTCTGTAATATATGGAATGGCTGTCTGTAATATATGGAATGGCTGTCTGTAAATATATGGAATGGCTGTCTGTAATATATGGAATGGCTGTCTGTAATATATGGAATGGCTGTCTGTAATATATGGAATGGCTGTCTGTAATATATGGAATGGCTGTCTGTAATATATGGAATGGCTGTCTGTAATATATGGCTGTCTGTAATATATGGAATGGCTGTCTGTAAATATATGGAATGGCTGTCTGTAATATATGCAATGGCTGTCTGTAAATATAATGGCTGTCTGTAATATATGGAATGGCTGTAATATATGGAATGGCTGTCTGTAATATATGGAATGGCTGTCTGTAATATATGGAATGGCTGTCTGTAATATATGGAATGGCTGTCTGTAATATATGGAATGGCTGTCTGTAATATATGGAATGGCTGTCTGTAATATATGGAATGGCTGTCTGTAATATATGGAATGGCTGTCTGTAATATATGGAATGGCTGTCTGTAATATATGGAATGGCTGTCTGTAATATATGGGTAATATATGGAATGGCTGTCTGTAATATATAGAATGGCTGTCTGTAATATATGGAATGGCTGCCTGTAATATATGGAATGGCTGGCTGTAATATATGGAATGGCTGTCTGTAATATATGGAATGGCTGTCTGTAATATATGGAATGGCTGTCTGTAATATATGCAATGGCTGTCTGTAATATATGGAATGGCTGTCTGTAATATATGGAATGGCTGTCTGTAATATATGGAATGGCTGTCTGTAATATATGGAATGGCTGTCTGTAATATATGCAATGGCTGTCTGTAATATATGGAATGGCTGTCTGTAATATATGGAATGGCTGTCTGTAATATATGGAATGGCTGTCTGTAATATATGGAATGGCTGTCTGTAATATATGCAATGGCTGTCTGTAATATATGGAATGGCGGTCTGTAATATATGCAATGGCTGTCTGTAATATATGGAACGGCTGCCTGGTAATATATAGAAATGGCTGTCTGTAATATATGGAATGGCTGGCTGTAATATATGGAATGGCTGTCTGTAATATATGGAATGGCTGTCTGTAAATATATGGAATGGCTGTCTGTAATATATGGAATGGCTGTCTGTAATATATGGAATGGCTGTCTGTAATATATGGAATGGCTGTCTGTAATATATGGAATGGCTGTCTGTAATATATGGAATGGCTGTCTGTAATATATGCAATGGCTGTCTGTAATATAAAGAATGGCTGTCTGTAATATATGGAATGGCTGTCTGTAATATATGGAATGGCGGTCTGTAATATATGGAATGGCTGTCTGTAATATATGGAACGGCTGCCTGCAATATATAGAATGGCTGTCTGTAAATATATGGAATGGCTGTCTGTAATATATGGAATGGCTGGCTGTAATATATGGAATGGCTGCCTGTAATATATAGAATGGCCGTCTGTAATATATGCAATGGCTGGCTGTAATATATGCAATGGCTGTCTGTAATATATGCAATGGCTGTCTGTAATATATGGAATGGCTGTCTGTAATATATGGAATGGCTGTCTGTAATATATGGAATGGCTGTCTGTAATATATGGAATGGCTGTCTGTAATATATGGAATGGCTGTCTGTAATATATGGAATGGCTGTCTGTAATATATGCAATGGCTGTCTGTAATATATGGAATGGCTGTCTGTAATATATGGAATGGCTGTCTGTAATATATGCAATGGCTGTCTGTAATATATGGAATGGCTGTCTGTAATATATGCAATGGCTGTCTGTAATATATGGAGAATCTCACCCAAGTGTCTACTGATATCAATTATATCAACACGAGTTGATAAAGTTATAAATATCCGAGACTTGCCGAGGTTATTTTTTCTTTTATCAACGAGTGATATCAGTAGACAGGAGGGTGAGATTCTATTTATCATCAAAAATCACTCTTCATTAGTTTTCAATGAAAAATGTGCATCTCTGAACACGTTACTGCCATCAGACTAGCAAAGCAGAGATGTCATAGCATTGTGACATCATCAAGTTCATGACGTCATAGCATTGTCCAGGCATTGTACAAAATCTACTGTCAAAACGATATCTCTTAGAAGATATCGTATGATCTCACACAAGCAATATCTCCTGTGGAACACAGTTTTGGATGATAAATTTTTGCTCATTTCGGGTACTTAATGTAAAAATCAAAATCAAGATGTTACCTTTATTACATGAAGCTGAAACAAACCCTGACAACATTCACATTTCTATTTAAGTAATGTATTCTCAAGAAAACTATAAAACAAGAAATATTTTTCTCGTCATTATGGAATAATATTTGAAACTATTGTGTAAAGAGGCACTTTATAAACTTCATGTATACAACAAAGTTTTCTTTATCAACACTCACAATTAACACACACATACTTACTGAAGAAATATATACACATGGATTTAACTGGGATCACTAAAAGGCTGATCTACACTCCAGCATATGTTGGCAAAAATTTCATAGTTCTAATGAAAGATGTTTGTTTGGTGTTTAACACCATACTCCATAATCGAGTCTGGACCACACAATCCAGTGATCAACATCATGAGCCTCAATCTGCAGAATTGGGATATGACGACATGTGTCAACCAAGTTGCTGAAGACCAATTCTAACCCTGGTCTTCACAGGTTTGATGAAAGACCATAGACATTAAGACATCATAACATAACGCAGTGCACCCAGGTTATAATGCCCCAGCCTATACTGCCATTTTATGCAAAAATGTCGACTTGGCAAATTAGCTGCTTTGATCAGCTGAATAATGTATAGTGTGTGTACATATTTTTTATCAATGGTTTAGCTTATTAATAGTTTAATCCTACAGGCTTTTCACTCTTTATTACACAGAAGATATTTCTGCAAATTACAATGTTTTTGTATATTTGGTTACTAGTTACTATATCATTGGGTACTGATGTTTAGGATGGTCATAACTGATAGATTTGGTTAACCTGGTTATAATGCCACCCTAGTTATAACGCCATAAATCTTCCTGGACAAATTGCTGCATTAAAACTGTATGTCACAGCTTTGCTAATATGATATTATTTGACAACACTGAACTGAATGCGGTGGAAGAATAACTTAAATGTAGAAAGAAAATATTCTTACAAAAATCCCAATTTTCTAGCAAAAAGTTTTTCCACATGCGATGGGCATTTAGTTGAACATCCTAGATAAATCTCTTTTCTATCTGACATAAGTATAGGGCTTAGTGGCAAGCTGACCTACAAAACCCACGCTAGCAATAATAGGTAATTAAGACTGTACTATGCGGTGCTCAGCTCTAACACTGGTCGATCAACAGCTTGATAACAACACACAAAGTCAGCTGTGGGTTTAAGGAAACAAAACGGTATTATATTCCAGTTGTGAATTAGTGTTTTCCAGGGCTCCAGATAAGGGCCGTATCGGCGTATGTACGTATAAAAAATATGCACGATACGGTAGGAAATAATTTAGAAAACGTAGCAGATACGCACCACAGCAATGGTGTACGGTCTTAGAATCATTTACAGGCGTATTTATCTGAAAAAAGTATTGTTTTATTGTTTATTGAACTGTTTACACAAGAGTAGCAATATTGTGGTGCATATATGAAACGAAACACAAGATTACTGATAGTCCATTAATTTCCATTCAGTACTCTAAATGTATACTTAAGGTTTTCCAGTACTCCTATATTGACGCGGTCGGGGATTGAACCCCCGACCTTCCGATCTCCGGCGGACGCTCTAACCACTACACCACGGAGGCAGTCCTTTCCATTTAGTGGTAGTGGTGGTGTAGTCTACTGGTTAAAGCATTTGCTTGTCAGAAGACCAGGGTTTGATTCTCCACGTGGGTACAATGTCTTTCTGGTGTACCTCGCCATCATATTGCTGGAAAATTGCATAAAACCATACTCCCTCCCTATCTCACTCACTCACTCACTCCATTTCGTGAAAACAGCTGATATATGTCTCGTGTCTATACATAAAGTAAACTGAAAATTAATATGATGAAAGTAAGGCTCAGCAGATGCAAAATTAACGAGCTTGTCACAAAATGAAAATTGAAGGCAAGGTTTTCTGTTACTCTATGACCCAGGTCTAACACAGCCGATGGTTGTTCAGCTATTTCAGTAGGCGTCAAGCATCTTGGATTCAGGGTACTGATGTGGTATGTCCTGCATGTACTGTTATCCTTCAGACTCTAATCTTTCAGCAGCTGTG